GGTTCTCATCATTGCTCACCTAAACCATTGCAAAAAGCCCCCTGACTCTGTTTTCAAGACCTCAGTTTACAATCAAACTTCCTTACTCAAAGATTTCTAAGTCATAAGGTCAATCAAATTGATCTGTGCCTCAGCAGCTCCCTAACATAGAATAAAGTCAGTGCCTTGGCCTAGCGTCTCCCAGCAAATCACAATCTGAACCTATCTGCTGTTTTCCTTCTTCTGCCACCTTCCCACCAGTCATGTCAGAAAACAAACAACTGCCAAACTCATGAAGCCACAGTCTCATCGCTGAGCTTTCCACACCCTTGTGCATTCATTCATTGATTTGTTCTTTTTGCTTTATTTTTAAGTTTATTTTTTCAGATTTCTTGTATGAGTGAGATATAGAGCACATGCACCTCCAACTTGACACCACGATCCATCTCCAGCCTCAGTCATGGGTCATGGGCACACATGTGCCGGGAATATTCAAGGAGGTCTCCAGATTTGAACTCAGAACCTTCCCACATGGGTCAGCCTCATAGAGTGCTGCATTTTAGCTCTGGTCCAATCGCCGTGTGGCCCACTATACCCTGGTTTCTAACTGGAACAGTCTTTCCCACTTTTTCTGTCTTTTGAATGTTGGTTCATCCTGGAAAGCCAAACTGAAATGTTACCACCAGATGAATGCTGTCTACCCTGGTCACACCACTAGCCAAGACATACTCTTACCTGTCTTTCCATAGAATGTCTCATGAACATATTTCAGCACTTCAACAAGCACTGTAATTCTCCCTTGACTTGATATTCCACCTATAGTAATTTCTTTTAAAGGCAGGAACTATGTTAGTTATCCCATTCCCAGGGCATAACATGAGATCTGATGCACAGAATGTTCTCAGTTATATGCTAAGTAGACAAAAATTATAGTGCCCACATTACTACTATTAGAAGCATGTGGAAAAAAAAGTCCCAGAATATCACCCATAAAGAGAATGTGAACAAATAACTGAGAGAATATAAACAGTGTCCTAAATACAGGAACTGTGAAACACACTAAATTCAATGGTGACCTTTATTCTTATTTATAACTAACACTGTTACATTCAATCATTCTTGTACATTTTACAAAAGAGCTTCATAGAGGCCAGGGACACTAAATATCTCATTCGGCCTGACAGTACAGGTGCTCCACTGTCATTTCCATATAGATAGGTCCGCCTAGAATATGCTCAGCTGTAGCTCACTTCCTGTTCTTGATGTTCCCTGAGTGGGAGCTATTTTTGTGCATATGCTCTCCACTAAGTTAGATCTTTCAGGTGAGGAGGGGCCTAAATATCCTTGTCCCCAGAAGAATGACTTGTACATGGTAAGTATTCAAAAAAATATTTGATGACTGGTTTATAAAACATTGACTCAGGAAATATTGGGAGATTTTGAAAATGATAACTTTTGAATACGCTATTTTCCATCTTACACTGAAAAGCTTTGCTTTGTAATACTAACTCATCATTAAATTCTTTGTGGCCAGCCTACATTGGTTAGTATACCTGAGACCAAAATCCAATAGTCTGACAGTTCAAGGATCCAGGAATGAAACACACCTATTTCAAAAAATCACACCATGCATGTGAAGTTGTAATATTCTCCACCTGTGAAGTCAATGCCATAAATTGCTTTACATGGTACTGGTAATTTGGCAATACACTTATCTTTTATATTATTTCCACCCAAAATGGCTTATACTTGAGGTTGTGGCTGAAAAGGGTGATTGGAGTAGAATTCTTTGAGCAGAGTTAAATGGTTATATGAGAACTGAGCTCCAAGATCATGATCTATTAGCTTAGTCCACTATTGATAGTCTATTTCATCTTTGTCAGATAGTTTTTCTGTGCAGCAAGGCATAAACAAAGACATTTTCATGGGAGCCAGGAGGTAGTGTGGCTAAAGTGCTGGATCCCACATGGCCAACTACATGGTTCAAGTGCCAGACTGGTGGTTTGAGAGACACACAGGCACATGCACTGTGTGCCCCAAATCCTGAGTGTGTGCCCCAAATTCTGAGAGGAGAATGGAGGAGAAGAGATGGCAGCATGGCCATCCCCCCCCTAGGGTGAGAGTTCTCACTTTCCTCCTCTTTCTCTCCAGGGAGTGCATGTGCCCTGTAGCAAAAATAAATAAATAAATAAATAGATAAGGTAATTTTTGTGAAGACTAATAGATTTGAATAAAAGGCCAAAATTAAGACGTTGTCTGGGGATATCCAGGAATACTGGTATAGACTAAATAATAGGTTTCCAGAATGGTGTTTATATCTATACCCAGGGAATTCTCACATTTCATTTATTGGACAAGGAATTTCTGAAGAGGTCTCATGGAGGATTAGACATTTTAGAGGAACTGGAAATTCACAGGGAAATGAGAAATCTGGGAGTTGAGGTCCTTCAAAAGTGCTGACTTAGGTCCCATCTGTACAGCCACTCAAGGTGGGTCTTCTAAAGTAGATACACAGATAACACAGTGGCTGAGATTCCAGCTTTCTTAAAGCATATAATCCAGTATCTGTGAGCGTTCTGGAGAATGTGCTTTATGGCCAATAAAAAGCTATGTTCATCGCAAGGGTGGTCTCTTGTTTCACTAAGATCACTTGTTTTGTTAGAATATTTCAGTATTTCTTTACTGGAGCAGTGGGGGTGCATGATATTCATGAAAAGAAGGCAAATGAACTCTAAGATCTGAATTTATAAAGATGTTGGACCACAAAATGTGAAAAGCAAATTAAAATAGTTTTGAAAAATGATGCTGTACTACCCAAAGAGCCTGACATGTTTCTGGGGGTAACAAGACAGAAAAAAATGAGATAACACATATGGACTGGACTGGATATTTGCGTGAATCTAGGATCCTTCACAGATCGAGAGTAGTAAAAAGATTTACGAGACAGAGAATTCGTGTGCAAGAGAAGAGTTGTCCTTTTTATAAGGGTTCCCAGCTGTGACTATATATTAGAATCTCCAGAGAAACTTAAAAAAAGACTAGCTGACTCCAGGTGCTCCCCAGAGATTCCGATTTAATTAGTCTGGGCTGGCAACAGTATTTTTAAAAGCTTCCTAAATTATTAAGTACACTAAGAGTTGAGACCTAACCACTGGGGTACATGAGGAGATATGGGAATGGGAGAAGGCAAAACTGAATAAGTCACTTTCGACTTTTTTCCCACTCAGAATTAGGCACATTTTCCAAAAGGTATAACGTGACCATAGGTGGTTTTTGAGACAGTATTTGATTTGCTGGTACATGGATAAGCCTTCTTTACATACATATATATGTGTGTCTGTGCATTTAGATATATACATATATACATACATGTATCTTCATGTTCTTGTGTCTGTAAATACATAAAACTGTATTCAAATAAATGTTAAAAAATATAACCAAATTACTAACTTTGAGTTTTTATGTATATTACTGCCTAGGATGAGGCTAAGGTAAGTACTGAAGTTTAGAAAGCGAGTCTCTGTAAGTGAACATTCTGTAAATGCTAGGGTGGAATGTGGATATGGCAAACACTTTTAAAAGAGATAAGCAACCAACAGAGAACTGCCCAGAACTCAGGAACTTTCTTGCCAGCTCTGACTGTTGTAAACCCGCCTCCATCCCACAGCAGGTAGCAGGCCCCATGCTGTCCTGTCTTGGTTCCTCACACATGGAGGCTGTACCTCCTCCCAGTCATTCATATACTTCTGAACTGGCCTCAAACGCAACCAGATTCTTTCAGCCTGGCAGTCACGATCCGATTACTGATGTCATCGCCTCTAACTCATTGTGTCTCTTCTTTCACATTAAATCGGAGCTAAACTTAACTTGGGGTGGTTTGGCCACTTGAGCATAATAGGGCAGAAAACCAATGCGCACAAGGCATCCAGCCCCACTAGCACAAAAGTGTAATCCAAGCGACCCAAATCCAGGTTATGCAAACTCCAAGAAGAGGGTGAGGGGAGAGTCAAAACCCCAAACAGAGCAAATGAAACCAGCCTACAGTCATGAGGCACTCACTCACCAACATTTCATTCTATTTGCCATTCTCTGGGCATGATGCAACCTCAGGTTGCCTAATTCATATTTGCACATTTTCTCCTTGTCCACAACGAGCTTCAGAAGCTTCCAACTCCATAAAATTCCTTTTAAAAGTTCAAGTATCTAGCCCAAGAAGGTTGCCTGACAGATGAGGTGACCCCACCTTTATCTGGTCCCAAAAGAAGTGCGCTGGGAAGGTCTGCAGTTGTGCAGGTGGAGCAGGAGCGAGAAGGTGCAAGGGCGGGCGGAGACGAACGTGACAGCCTCCCACTGTCCCCCGCCAATCTCACGCTCCCACTTGGTTAGAACCTGCCAAGGGCACGGCACGTACTTCACCTCTCCCCCAGTCCTGCCTCCCGCGTCCTCCTCTCCCAATCCGAAGGGTACTATGGAAGGCACGGGGAGGGAACAGGCTCAGGTCTCCGGCCTTCCTCCTCTTCTTGGCGCTACTGCCCCAGTTTTCCACACCCTGGCAGCCTCCTGGTCACCCAGTCGTCGGCTACACCTTTGCACCACCCAACAAAATGGCAGGTTAGCAACAGGCGAGGCCGAAAGCACCGGCCCTTGCCCTCGCCAAGCTCGGCCTCCGGCCAAACCTCGAATTTCTGAAGGCGTCCCCAAGCCCAAACAGCCCCTCTCCCCTCCCAGTCCCCAATCCTCGGCCCCGCCCGGCCGCCTGCTAGCTCTCTCGGGGCCATTTCCGTCCGGCGCTGGAGCAGGTGCCAGCGTAACAGGTGCCAGGCGAGAGGACCCAGGAGGCTACTCCGGACAAGGAGAAGACCCCGGGAGGGGACGCAGGACAAGGCCACGTCGAAGGGAAGGAGGGTGAGGGCGGGCGCAGGGAACGAGGGTGGGAGCAGGCGCAGAGACAGCCTGGCGACAGGGATGCCGCTGCCAGTCCCCGCTCCCCGGGAGACCCTCCCCGAGGCTGTCCCACTTACAATCTCCAGGCAGACGAAGGCGCCCGAGTAGGTCCGCAGGATGTCGGGGCCGATGGGCAGGGTTAACCGAGGGGCCGGGAAGGACACGGCGGGGTTCGGGGGCGGCCTCCCCCTCCCCCGCCCCCCCCGCCTCCCCCTCCCGCTGCTGCGTTTCCACGCGCCACCGCCGCCTCCCGCCTCCCGCCTCCGCTTCCCGGGCTCCCGCCGCCGTCGCCGCTCGGGTCCGCGAGGTCTGGGCGAGCCGCGCCGGAGGGGGCGTGGCCACGCGGTTCTCGGGCGGGCGAGGCCCCGCCCCGTCACGTGGGCACAGGTGAGCCGGCCTCTGTCCCCCGCGCCCGAGCGGGTCACGTGCACAGGTGCGGCCCTGCGGGCACCACGGCCCTGGCTCCCTTGCTTGGCCGCGCCCTGTGCTCCCAGAGCCTCTCAACGCCAGGCCTGCTCTGCCCCGCCTCTCAGATGTCACCTGTTCTCTCTACCTGTCGTCCCCAACTCAGGGCTGGCCCTCGCCCACTTCCCTCAAGGTGATGAGATGATAGGTCTTGGGGTTGTGACTCAGGAGGTAAAATCCAGTCTTCGGGGACATCTAAAAAGTGGAGAGCATGCACTTTACACGGGACTCCATGAACATTGTAAGGACACCACTCTCAGCACTGCGCGTTCGAGTCGGGCAGATAACTCAGCTCCATCACCTACTGGCCGTGGTCCTGGGCAAGTAACTGGCTAGTTCGCGTCGCTGGTCTTCTCTGAGATGGGATGAGGGTATCTATTTCGTATAGCGTGCAGATGCAATGACAGTGAAGAGTTTAGCATAATGTCACTTTAAATCGTAACTAGCAAGGTAACAGCTATTTTACTGACTTTTACACACGCATGTGTCACTAAGGACATACCATAATGCACAAAAGCCTTTACACCTGTCTGAAACTTACTTCTTGTAGTTACCTTTTAAACACTTAAAATTATTTCTGAAAAGGGGGATTCCAAGTCTGCTTGGACCCCCCTACTCCAATCTTGATTTTAAATGTCATATTTTGTAAGGGAAGTAAAGAAGGTGAGATAAACTTTCTCAAAGATCAGTTGAAGATGAGCAAAACCAACTTACACGTTAACACGTACCTGTAGACCAGGTTGGAAAAAAGTATTAGCTAACCTCAGCAGACATTTTCTACATTGACTCTTGATCTTGTCTGTCAGGTTTAGCCTTTGAGGAATTGCGGTTCGCTCTATGCAGTGATCAGCAAGATTTAGTTACTCTCCCTCTTTATTATTTTAATAAGCGAAACTCATAGGTGTGGTGGTGGCATCAGAGTAAAAAAAACCCCACAAACCAGGGCGTGGATGAAACCTTTTGTATATACTGCCTAGCCTCTCCACCTCTTAGTCATCACTTTCTGGTATTCAATGTGTGACATTTATTTAATAGGAAATTTAAAGTTTTCTACATTGATTTGTTTGATTGATGAATCCTTTCTGTGTTAGACCTGGAATGGCAGGGAATGATTTTTATGTTTTATTTTATTTCTGCCTAAGAGTTTTCAATAAGCTCTTAATGTTCAAATGGAAGACCACTTCAAAGAAATTATTGTAGAGATCCTCAGCAACTGAACCCACTTTGTGACTTAGCAATAAGCTACTGCCATGCCTTTGAACATCGATGTTGCTGATTCCTCCTATTCATCTTTCTCTTCTTCATTCTCAGCTCACTGCCTTCCAGCCGTTCACCCACTCCTATATTCTCATTGGCCTTATTCTGACTCTCCTGGCTTCCTTATCTGATTTGTGCTTATTGGAAGGCATTTTAGTAATGCTTGTTATTAGTCCCCTTTTCCCTCCCCATCTTTCACTTTGCTGTAAACTTACCCTCACGGCTGCATATTCTTCAGATCTGCCCTCCATCTTTCACTTTGCTGTAAACTTACCCTCAAAACTGCATATTCTTTAGATATGCCCCCTCCGATTCTACCGTCATGCTGCCTGGGGTTGCTGAAAGAACGTCAAAACCATGGCCCTTGGTTCCACTACTAATTCATGTTGTTCAACCTTGGCTGGGCCTTAGAGGTTCCCCGTTGTCATTTTTCTCTATCCCCTACCCCCATTTTTCTTAGTTATGATTCCATAGCTTCTGCATGTTTCCAGCCCTTGTGCCTGGCACGGGTAGACAACACGCTCAATCAGGAAAAACAAATCTAGACTGTTCCAACCTTCCCTACTTTCTCCTGCTTTACAAGAAGTTTTAGAACATCTAACCAGTAATACTTGTTTCATTGAAAACACAGCCATCCATCCAGTTATCCAAGACAAACACCTGGGTGTTGCCCCTCATGCCTCTTTCTCATGTCACATGTTTACTCAGTCACTGGGTTCTGGCGGTTCTACCATTTCACTCTCCAGGATATATCCACCTCTCACCATTTCCACTGTTCTCGCTCCATCACAGGCCGCTCTCTCTTCGCACGATGAGTACTCCGAAGTGTCGTTCCCTCTTCTTGTATTCTCTGTTCTGTCATCAGAATGACTTGGATTTACAAATGTCATCAGTCACTCCTCTGCTTAAAACCCCGTAGGCCCAGCCTCAGTGTTGCTGCCGTGCTAGAAGCCACATGGCTGACTACTAGTTTAGATCCTGAGTTGGCCTGAAATCAGGTACACCCAAGATCCTGAAAGCTGAGTGGCTGGGGAAGGGGACTGCAGCACGATGAGACCCTGTCCAAGGTGCCTGTGTCTCTTTTCTTTTCACTCTCAGGAGTACCTGTTCTCTCTCATGAATGTAAGAAACAACGAGAAGTGAAAAGTTCCTATAGGAGTCTTTGCTTTTTTCAGGATCAATTCTAAGCACTTTAGGGTACATTAAAGATATTTCTGGAGTGGGTGATAAGCTTCCTCACCTCTCTAGACTTATTGATCCACTCACAGTCTAATAATTCTTTTGCCTCCAACTTTTACACATTCTCCTCCCTCTCGAGGAAGGTCCTTTCTTCTTACCACTTCATTCCTCACAGCCATTTCCTGATAACTCCTTTGAGTCATAAGGACAGTACACTCTGGCCTTTCTGTGCTTATTCAAGATTACACGGGGCCCCGATCCCAGTGGGTTCGCATCACCTGCTATACTTTATAAAAAACATTAACCTCATTGCATCGAAACTGTGTTTTCACTTGTCTCACATCTATTAGTCTGGTCTAACAGTATATTAAAAATAAGTTTAGTGGAGGCACTATGAGATCATAGATATCAGATACTAATGTGAGTTGCAAACTAGACCACCAAAAGATTTAAAATGGGTTTTGTGGGATCAGCAGATGGTGTAATGGTTATGTCACTGGACTCCCTTGTGGTCCACCATGGCTCTAGTCCCAGACCTGGCATTTTGAGACTCACACTGGGCACATGTGTGCATGCCCAAAATCCGGGAGGGGGTGACTTCTTGCTCTCTCTCTCTATGTCTCTCTCTGGCAAGCACAACCTCCCTATAGCAAAAATCTCTCTTAAAAACAAAAGGGGGCTTTGTTACTGACAAAGTCTAACTGCTTCTTCTCAAGGTCAGTGAAATGAGAGGCAAAGGCTGGAGAAGGGAGTTTAGTTTTACAGCCAGGTTACAAGGGGACAGTCAGCAAGCAACACCAAACTGTCTCAACAAGCTCAATATTTGTAGTTACCAAATACCATTTCTACTACAATCTCACCACAGCCAATGGCTTTCCTTTGAACAATTATCTTGATTCCTCTTGATTCCTTTCTTCTTCTTCTTCTTCTTCTTCTTCGTCTTCATCTTCGTCTTCATCTTCGTCTTCGTCTTCGTCTTCGTCTTCTTTTTAATACCCACTCCTAGTTTCTCGTCTGACCACTCCTCAAACAGATTTCCCTTATTAGAGGCCTTTCTTAATTTCAAAATGACTGCAGGCTGATTAAAAACTCATTAGGCAATCTATAAACCTCTCACTTCCATCAAGAATAAAAGATTAGAGATAAAAGGATTTAGAAAGAGGATTTGGGGGGACCAGCAGTTAGTGTAATGGCTATGTTGCTGGACTCCCACGTAGTCGACCGTGGCTCGAGTCCTGGACCTGGTGGCTTAAACTCACACCGGGTGTGTGTGCATGCATGCCCAGGATCCCTAGAGGAGAATGGAGAAGAGATTGTGGTGTGGCCATACCCCCCGGGTATTGCTTTCTGTCTCTTTGTCTCTCTCTGTCTTTCTGGCGAGCACACATGCCCTATAGCAAAAACCTCTCCAAAAAAGAAAGGATTTGGGGGAAGGTGGGGGAGACAGTGTGGCAATCACACTTCAGCCTCAGCCTCCTGCATCCCTTCTCCTTCATTGCAGGAAGTAGCTGAGCTTTATTCACAGTAAATAATAAGAGCTCAAATAGTACAGCTGACCAAATGAAAGCTGCGTTTAAATTTCTGTTTCATCACCATTACTTCCCTCCTTTGTTCCTGTAGAGGTTATTTCTTTCCCCATGCAAAGTTGAGCTCCATCTCAGCTTTGATTATTTCCCCTTTCTATTTACTTAAGAAACTTAAATCTATTGATTTTTTTCTCTTCTCTCTCTTCAATTTGCAATTTTCACTCAGTCTTTCTCCCTGTATGAAACTGAGCAAGTTTCCCTCATCATCAGAAACAGCAATACCTGATTTCCATCCCAATAGCATAACAATAGCTAGATGTACTATTCTTGGGTGAAACAACTAAAATCCCATATAATGTGTGTAAAACTGGCTTTCAGGCCTTGCAACATCAGCATTGTATGACAGTGATCACTTGGAGATGAGAAAGACCCCTATGATTTTTAGCTTGGAGTTTCCAGAACAGAGGGAAGAGAGACCCTGATAGATGCCAGCAGTCTCCATGGATTGAGGTGGTGAAGCTGGAAATCTTATAAGAGAGGTAGAAGGTACAGGATGAACTTTCTAAAGAGGAAAGAGTTGCATACAGATAAAGACTGGGAGGTTAGCAAAGGTTCCCCCTGAAACCCTCGGCTGAGTGCTGGTCATCTCATGAAGGTGTACAGCTTACCCAAGGCCATGCGAGAAGCATTCCAGAGGTGCAAAGAAACAACCCCAAGAATTCATACAGGGCCATAAATAGTTAATGTTTTCACCATCAAGAGTGGGAAAATCTTCTAACTAATGGAGCACTGGATAGACTGTTTGGAAAGGTATTTCCTCGTACTGGGGCAAAATAAGCCTCAGACAAAAGGCTGCTCTGGTTCTTCCTTGCAGAGAGTTATAAAATGCACTGAAAAGTTTAAATAACTCAACTGAATCATTGAACAGGGCTCAAGAATATTATATGAAACAAAATGTCCAGCAATCAACAAGATAAGATTCATAATGTCTCAAATCCAATTAAAAATTAACAGCCATACAGAGAAGCAGGAAATATGATGCATATTGAAGAAAAAGCAATCACTAAAAACAGACCCAGAAATCACACAGATGACTGTATTGAAAAGACCATTAAGGCAGTTAGTATAAATGTATTTGACATCTTAAAAAATAGAGCAATAAACTAACAAAAGAAATCTAAAGGAATCATAAGAATACACAATTAATCCAAAAGAAGTCATACAAAGAAGAAAAAAGAAACAAAAAATAAATAAATGATACTAGTAAACCTAAGTATAG